CTTAAAACAGAGACCATGTAGATGATGCCAAGGTTTGCTGCCAGCAAGAGCAGTTGCCAGGCTTCCCTCTCCCTAGGCTGTGAGGGTTGAGCACCTGAATCCCTGGGCACTCTGAATCCAATTCCCATGAACTAATTATCTGGGCCTCGACTATTCTGGAATACAATACTATAAGACTTTTTTTTCAAGGCAGTCTTTCACTTTTGCAGTTTTGAGGCTGCAACGTGTGGAGTCCTACTGCCCCTTGTGATGGCCCAAGTCATCTTTTCTATTCTCCTGTGCCTTCTCGGCAATTATGGCTGCCTCAGCTCTATCTTTCTAGTCCACAGTTTTAGTGGAGCTTCTTTTCTGGCCAGATTCCCAAGATTTTGAATCATTCTGATGGCCTCTTTTCTCTTGATTCTCAACATAAATCAGCTAAAGTCTCCCAACAGTAACCATGCCACTGCCTCAACATTAGAATGCTTTCTGGTTTTCTGAGCTCTGAGAATCTCTCATACATAATGCATTCCACAGCTATTTTTGCAGTCACATTTCACGTGATGCTATATTTCAACTGAAAGTTTCCTTAAGTGCAAAGAAAATGTCAACAATTAGAAATCTGATAAGAGTTTTGGAAACCAGGTTTCCAGGGTCTTCCCAGACAATCAGGTAGATGGTAATGGCAGTTACTGAAATAAGACATCTAGAGAAAGATTAGGTCAAGGCAAGGATGTGCTCCATTTCAGACAAACTTGAGATCTCTTCAGGAGATAAGAATATTTCAGAGAAGGACTCAAGTAGCCAGTTGCATAGTTAGGTCTCAAAGTGAGGAAACAGGCTTGAGTTGGATACGTCAGAGGGTTTGTGCCTTGCATGTGACTCAGGGAAGTGACAGGTCTTTCAGAGCTCCTTTAAAGTACAGGGTAACTAAGAAGGCCTTCCTTGAGCAGCTGAGTTTCCCATGCCCAGTAAGGGCATAAAAGTTGCTCAGAAAGAGTATCACAGGGCTCTAGAGACCTGCTTGTCAATACAAGAAAGGTATAACAGCCATTTTATTTCACTGAAATCAAACAGCATATAGGAACAATGATGTAGCCAGTAATATACAACTCTTACTAAAATCCTATTACTTTGTCCAGGTTTATGCAATGTCAGTTCTCACTAAATAATGCTAAATGACAAACTTTCCCAAAATTATGTGGCTTCAAATAGCAACCATTCATTTAACTTATGCTTTGTGGGTCAGCTGGGCATTAGCTAACCTACACTGGTAAGATAGGAAATAAAGTCTGTAGTACATGGCTGTCACCCTTTTTATAGAATGAGTGGACTAGCTCAGCTTGTTCTTCAAAATCATGGTGCCACAGAAGGTACAAAACTGAAGATCATTTTGCACATATGTTTCTAACTCCTGGTCAGATAATGCCTGCTAATATCCCACTGACTAAAGTAAGTACCTTGGCTGAGCCAAGGTCAAGGGTAACATTAAGTCTTGTCCAGGCATCTACCATATGTAAGTGTAGAAGAAACTTCTGACAAAAAAATAAAACTGAATGACTGAAAAGAATTTAACATAGTTCACACATCTAGAATTTTGAATTGATTCACATGTGTGACTAATGTGAACACTGAAATAGGGGCATAAACAAGATGCAATGGAAACCCAAAGGAATAATCTCATTCGGACATAGGACATCCCAAACAAAGTGATCTCTGCTATGAAAGATCCAGCATAATTTTCTCTGTTTTGTGAAATGTCAGGAAAGAGACATAAGAAGCTTTCCATGGAAAGAGCACCCAGAGAAAGACATGGCTCTTAACCATACTACTTTCCTGGGGTTTGGGCAATGAACTATGTGGGTGTGGGTCCCTATAGCAAATATTCCAGGTGTTAGAGAGAAGTCAAGACTTTTGATTTTTACTGCTTGCATAATTCACCTCTGAGATTCTCAATATTTCTCTTTAACAAAAGGAAGCCTGACTCAGCCCGTGAGTCCAGACGTGGGGTAATGACCTGAAGGAGGAACGGGGATGAACAAGACAGGGCAAGAGACACAAGAGACGGAGACAAGACAGGCTTTCTGATCAAGTCTCGTTTATTGAGGAAGTGAGCAGGGTCTAAATAGCTGTATAGTGGACGCAGTTGGGTGGGACTAGTTGTGGATTGGTAGTGGAGGTCCAGGACCACAGGAAGATGTCAAGGCAAGCGGGGATTGGTGCTGCAGCACTTCTTGCCCAAATAAGGGAAAATATAACAGGAGTGTTCTATCGCCCCCCCACACACACACACAGCAGCCCAGCCTTCCCAGGACTTGGCTTGAATTCTTGATTTGGTTGTTGTTAGGGGCTTTAAAAATTCTGTGCATACATGAATCATATAGCAGAAACCTTATATTTGGCTTTTTCAGTCAATGTGATTTTTGTGAATATATTTTTGGCAGTCTTAGCATTGCTACATAGGATTGCATTGTATGAATCTGAAACAATGGATTTTTTTTTCTCTGAAAAAAAAGGAAGAAATTACTGAGCCAAGAAGGACAGGAGTGGAAGTGGGGAAAGAGATATATCTATGTACGGAAGGATGGTTTGGACAACTGTACTGTGGATTTCTGCTGGTCTGTGGAAAGGAGCAGTTAATGCTTAATTTGTTTTGTCTCTTTTTTTCAGTTGTCCATTTTCTCTTAATTTCTTATACATTTCTTTTTCCTCTAGTTTTGCATGCATGTATCTGCTAATATTAACAACTAATATGAAAACAACCCTATGCATTACAGCACACTGTGAAATTCATAATGTTTTGTTAAGTGACATTCTATATGACTTGAAATTTTTCTGTTTTAATACTATTTTGTACTCTTTAAAAAATAAATTCAGAGGTTTAAAATGGAAAAAAATAAATAAAAAATAAAAAATAAAAATTCTGTGCAATTTTATTTTGTTATTAATTAATTAATTAATTAGGTCCAGGGTCCTGCTATGTAGCTCAGACCTGTAGTGACCCTCCTGTCTCAGCTTCCTCAGTGCTGGGATTATAGGTGTGTGCCACCACGCTCAGTTTCAGTGGCATAGTGATCCTAGGGTTCCAGGGTTGGCATGGTATGTGGTACTGGGGATCGAACCTGTTTGTCAGGCATGTGCTTAGACTGCTGAGCTATCTCCCTGGCCCAGTTCTGTGCAGTTTTTAATGATAGCCATTGCCATGTAGATATCCTATCTTCCTTCCACACTACCTTCTGCCTTTGTGTCACTAAAATGCCGCTGAAGTAGGATGTTTCTTTCCATCTTACTTGTATTTGAGATTTAAGATACATGGATCTCTGATTAAATCTGAAATCATTAGTACCACATCTTCATCAGAAAACCCCTAGAATTTAGGGTTAAAATGGTTTCCTAAGCTTTATTTAATCTTCCAGCTTCACTGGTTTTTCTTTCTGCTTCTTCTGTGTCTTCTCTCAGGTCTGCATTTGCTTTGGGGTCAGTTATTGTTGCCAGCCCTCAGGTACTTACACCTTCCCCTGACAGACATACAAACTCTTCTCAGGGAGTTCCCAATGTCTAGTACTTCACTAGGCCCAGCTCTTCTGAGCAAATAGAAAAGTAGATGGCAAAACCTGTTGGGGATTTCTGCTGGTCATAGTTACCTGGTCTTTGGAGGAGAATTCACTCCTTCAGTGTACTCTCCAATCCTGTCACAGTAATTCTTGCCATTTCAAAAAATTACTGCCATGAGTTTGTGCTTTTACTTAACATGAACTTTTCTTTTTTTTTTTCTGTATTTTGGGGAAGGGTCTACAGGGTGTTCAGGGTCTCACGACT